CCCAAGATTAGAAATGCTTCAGGGTCATTTGCATGAGGAGGAAAACTTGGGCCATGAGGCTAGACTTTCCCCTCGGAAACGTCGTGCGGTGACGTGCTCGGGATCCGCTCCGGTTGGGAGCCGCCGCGTAGGGAGCTGGGAACCGGCTGACCTGCGCTGTGGTTTGCCTCGCCAGCTCTCGTTACCTTTGTTCCTCCTTTCGTTGCCAAAGCCAGCACCAGCCTCAGCTCTCCGCTTGATTGCTGCAATTAAATTGCAGCCAAGTAGGCATTAATGTGTTCATTCAGCAAAATGAAGCTTTTGGTTATTTTAAGTTGAAAATGAGCTTCGGAAATAGCTACACTCTGCCCTGGATGACGTGCCCTGGGTGACGCAGGGTGCTGCTGCTTTGGGTTCTGCAAGGAGATTAAGCTGCTTTTGATCAGTCTGTCATGTCAGTCTCTTATTCGCTCTATTTTTTTAACCTCTTGGCACAGTGGTTCCTCATTAGGGAATTCATTCACAAAGACATTCCTGCCTATTGCCCAAAAATGGTAAGTTGATGAAGGAGAAAGGCTTGATTGCCATGAGCGCTTTTGTAGTTTCCAACTTTTTTGTGCTGAAAAAGTAGTAGCTTCCTGTGCTGAAATACACTCTTATTGTCCTCAAAGTGGCACATGGGGGAGATGCATGCAAAAATCAGGATGCGCGCTCCCAGGGAGCATCCAAAAGTGTGGAAGGATGCTGTGCAGAGTCAACCAAGAGGCCAAAATCTGCTATAAAACCGATTTTTTAGTAGTTTTGTTGCACATGGGCAACTCACCTGGTGACCCTAGGGGATAAGTGACCGTCTGCCGTGGGAGACTCGGCCACGACTTGGGTTGCATGAGCCCCAGGTAACTGTGCAGGTCTGGAGATGAACCTGCACAAGGGGGGGGAGCAGATCCCATCTCACCACTGTGCTGAAGTGGTGAGGTCTCTGCTTGCCTCATGCCAGCTCCAGCAGTTAATCCAACCCTGCTGTGGGCTGGCTTACTCATTGATCCAGAAGGAAGCTGCTTTATTTTTTTTCCTCTCTCTATTGAATCAAGGAACCGAGCTTGCTCATGGAAGCCTCGACAAGCACCAGGTCTAGCACAAGGTGAGAAGTTAAAGTCACCCAGTTGTAGGAGTGAAAGTGGGGCAGAAAGTTTACCCATTCTCAGAGTCAAATAAACTGTTAAATCCACCTAGAGGGCAGTGCCATGGGCGGTTGGCGGAGCTAATTCTGTGCAACCTTCCTCCCTTCAGGCTTCCTCTGCTTCAAGAACTGCACAGTATCACTAGGCAGGAGTAAATTTGATAGAAACACAGACTTTCATGGGTTGCCAGCCTTTAATAGGTCATTTCAGTGAAGCTCTTACAGGCTGCAATTGAGATCTTACTCTAAGGCAGATGGGGAAGACCTTTGGTAGTTACTTGGGTTTATTTTGGTGACATTCAAGAGCCAGAAATGAAAGATAATAAAGACAAATGGTGGCAGATAACAGCGTTCAGTTGAACGGGTTCATTTAGTGATGCTACATGTTGTGCATGCAGGGAACTCTTGAGGAAAGACTTTGAAAGTGCCCCCACCTGAGCATCAGGCTTCTTTCGTGGCTGTAGCGTGATGACATATTTACTGCTAAGTCAATAACCAAAGCGTATCCAGAAATGAGGCTTTCTGTTGTGGTTTTCCTGGGGAAAAAACTCTCCACAAAATCACCTCATCAAGAGGGAGTTGCATCAAGCCATGTGGTAGGTGCAAGTAATGGGATTTGCTTTCGTAGCTGCCTTTGTTCCGAGCTCGTGCCCAGGTTGTAGTGACGTGTAAGGTGGCCTCCTGGAGGGTTTGAGCTGAGGTCCAGGTTCCCAGGTGTGCTGCCTTTGGACCTGACTGGGCTTGGCTTTTCTGGAGAGAAAAAGACGGAGAAATAATTCCGTGTGAGAGCTATTAAATAGTGAACATATGAAAACTATTGCTGCAGAGAATTGAAGCTGGAAGGACATTCATTAATGCTAAATCTTTCACATCTCTTTAACATTTGACACTATTATAAAACAATTCTCAGCAGATTGCATCCAGTTCCTGAGGAAGAAACTGCCCCTGTGCCCACTTTAGCTAGGAGGATATTTCCGTGGCATCTCCCAAAGCATGCGAGCTCATCTGGGAAAGGCTTAAGTGTTAAACTCTCAAGCATTAATGAGCATTAATAGTCAAGCAATGGTCAAGGTTATTCCCTAGCATCTTTGCACAATACCTCTTCCTGCTGCCCTATAGCTTCATGTAAAACGTGTAGGCTGTAGCCTACCACCTTTTCTCTCTGCTTTGTGCTCAGTTGCTTTAAAGATGCTCTGGAGGTCCAGATGGCTTTGTGATGAGTTTGCCCTGCATCTACTGGTGTGGGAACGTGATTCTGGCTGACCACGTAGCATTATCAGTGTATTAACAGGTCAGGTCTGTCTCATCCCTGTGTTCAGAGGTCTTCATCCCTGAGTAGATACTCGGCTATAGTTATGGATGTAATATGAAGAGCTAGATCAAGCCACTACAAATAACATATCTCATGTTGAGTAGCACATGGTAGAGCAGCTAAATAAGGGTGCTGGAGAATGATGCTGGGCCAAAATCCTGCTTGGGAGTCTTTTCCTAGACAGCCAGCAAGCGTGTGAACTAACAAGCAAAGGGTTCTCCAAGCCCAGAATAAGATTTGGGGGGCAGGTGAACCTGAAAGAGGAGTTTCTGCTGCCATTGAGTGCTCCGTGTTGAAACCAATGTGAGACAAGTTGTGGAACTGAAGGAGTTAGATCGGGAAAGATGGGAAAAGAGTGGGATGCTGTACTTTAAAGTCAATATATGCAGGTTCTGGAGTCAGGGAAGAGGCGGGAAGCGCATGTTGTTGCTCTCTGTAGGATTTTGGCAGCTGTTTTGAGGCTTTGTTCGACACTGCCAGGCAAGGAGGGGATGAAACGTGTCGGCGACTAGTGAAGCCTTCAAAGGCCAGAAGAGGCAGCTAATTGGGAGAGTTAATTACCCAGGTATCTTTGAAAAAGTGTTGCGGCAAGAGGTGCGCTCTGTGGAATTATTAGAAAACTTGGAGGTTGCTTTTTTATCTCGAAAGGTAGAGGAAGTTACTTGGGGAGTGGTTGCTTTTTAGTCATGTGTGACTAATAGGGTGGTACTGGTTGAACGTAGAGCTGGAAGGTGCATTCGTTCCGCCACCCTCCCCAAATTTCCAAGCGAGGGAGTTCAGTATTTTGAGGAAAGGAATAAACCCATGGTTATACTTGCAGTTGGATTAGCGTAATAGACTTCATAAACCTCTAAACAAGGATAAAGTTTGCCCAAAACCTGATGGAAAAGGCTGTGACCAGTTCATAGACCTGTCACGTGCAGGTGAGGAAAAAACCCAAGTTACATCCTCCAGACGTAACGGATGCAGCAAGACCTAGGCCTGAAAAAACTCACCACAAGGAACCTAAGGAACTAGACAGAGTGGAGACTGAAAAATTAGCACTTAATAATGTTTTTAAGGAGCTGTGGGGAAGAAGGGAAACCTGGAGCACCAAATACCATTAGAGCATTTAAAAGGGAAGCGAGCAGGAGTCCCTAGGCTGCTTGTCCAAACTTTGTGGTTACGAACAGCGCTAGAGCATGTGTTTGTCGATCAGTTTATGGGCACCTAGAGAATATTACGGTGATAAAACAGCCACTATGAACTGCTCTGCGCTCACTTGATGAGGTAACTGGCCTGTTGGTAAGGGCAGAAACAGATCGATGTGTCTTGGCGATGGTAAAGTTTGTGACACAATCCCACGTGATCCTCTGATAAGGAAACTATGGGAAAGTAGTCCTGATTAAATCTCTCCTAGTGTCTGCTAGTTGTTTCCATGCCGTGTCGGGACGGAAGGGCGTTCCAGGCGCGCGCTCGGAGCGTGGCCTCACTTAGTGCTGTTTGTATTTCATTGCACTGGGGGCTGCCTACCAGGTTTTGGGTTTCTTCCAGCTCTACCTGCCTGGCATGGGTGTAGGAAGAGGCAGGACTCCAGTTTCCATTCCCTCTTGCATGCTCCTGTCTGCTCCTTTGAGGAAGGATCCTGAAGCCTTGGTCTGTGCAAGGAAGTATTTCACAAAGCTTGTAGGTATTAACTGCTGCAGTCGCCTTGGATGACGAAGCAAGTGTGAAATTCTGCTAATTAGTTTTAGATCATACTTAAAAAAAAAAAAAAAAAGGTGGCAAGATAAGCATCCTGTAATGGATAGTGGAGTATCAGGTGCAGCACAGTTAAGAAATAAGACATTTCTACCCTGCTGTGTGCTGGAGAAGAATTACTTGGAGGACCCTGTTTGGAGAGGTGTAATCTAGCTTGGCCCTTTGCTCTGTAGTAACAAGCTGTGAACAGGATCATATCGGGACCATGATTATTGTCTTGATATCACTTGGTTTTTATAGTTTCCAACAGCATTTGGAGACTTCTAGGCAGTGTGTCGCCAGAAAGGCATAGAGTGAAGTCTGTGCCTGGTGCTGGTCTTCTCTGGAGACTTCCCAAATTTTTGAACAAGAATAAAATGTGTGTTAGAGAACGTGATCTCTGGAAGAAATGGGCTGAGCCCACGAGATATGTGAGGAATGAAAGTTTTCTTATTATATTCTATATATATTATAATATATATATATTCTTATTATATTCTATATAAGAATTTTGTAGGGGAACATTTGACAGCAGTTGTCTTGATGTGCACTGAAAATGAGACTGGAGATGAGTGTTGTGGTAAACGCTGCTTTACAGAAAGATAGCTCATGTAATACCTCTTTGCCCCAAAATATTGAATAGCCCTAAGTACAAGTTAAGAGCAAAGAGAAATTTCCTATCTCAAGAATGATCTGGGTGCAGAGGTTTGTTAGTGCAAAGGATGAATTTTTGAGTTCTCTTCCTGACCCTTTCTGTTGACCCTTTTCTATGCGGGGCTCCCAGTTATTCTAAGCATCTTTCTTTCCCAGCCGTCAGCCTGAGCCACCAAAGAAGGAGAAGGAGGCAAGTACGATTGGCACCGCTCAGTCCAAGAGAGCGGACGAATGGAAGGACCCCTGGCGCCGATCCAAGTCGCCCAAGAAGAAACTCGGTCTGTCCGTCTCTCCCAGCCGTGCGCGCAGGCGCCGAAAAACCTCTGCTTCTTCAGCATCTGCTTCTGGCTCTTCAAGGTAGGTGGAGGGGACAAATTTGTGTGGAGTCTCCTTCTCTGGAGGTCTTCCAAACCCACTCGGATGCCACCCAGTGCCACATGCTCTGGCTGTCCCTGCTTGAGCAGGAAGGTTGGACTAGATGATCTCTAGAGGTCCCTTCCAACCTTGAACATTCAGCGATTCTGTGTCCCACACACATTACATGTTGTTCTACAGCAAGGCGTGTGCTGTGGCTCCTGCTTGGTAGGAGGCAGTGCAAGTCTTGCTGCTCTGTAAGAGCTGTAGACCCAGGCGTATAGGTAGTGAGATGGAAGCCAAAGAGGACGTGCCATTGAGGATGTTGTGAAGAGGTGTGATTTATTGAAGACTAAGGAAAGACAGAATTTTGGGAAAGTGTATGAAGGTTCTTTAGGGAAATGAGACTTGCATGTAGTCTGTTTTATTAGTCCCTTAGATGAAAGCTGATCTTAATAGGAGCAGAAACTGGAAGCTGTAAAACTTGTAGCCTCTTCGCTGTGGAAGTGTTGGAGGGGTGAGGTGAGCCCACTCCAGGATGAGCATCCTATTGCTGCTACTGCTGAGGGAAAAGTGGGTCAGAAAGACCGACAGGAGCTGTCCTGGGCTGCAGCAGAGCGCTGAAACCAGGCACAAGGTAAAGAACACTTCCCAGAAATAAGTATCCCGAATTTGGGAGACCTGGGACATAGCTGTTTTCTTTAAAGCCTTGAACTTGGGGTTCCTGAAAGGAGAAAAGAGTATCGCAGCACACTGAATTGAAGATGTGGCTCTAAAAAGCAAAGCTGTCCTGAAGTACATCTATCTTTCTAGAGTAGCTTTCTAGAGTCATTGCATCTCTTGATTTTTATTTTCTCCTAAAAGTTGTGACTGTTAAGTCAGAATGACCTGTCATGGGATTGTCTGGTGACAAGGTGGGAAATTATGTGGAAGAAGCGAGTTCCCCAAAAGGATGTAGACTCATTAGCAAAAGGAAGGGTTGCCTATTTTAGGAGACAGAGTGGGTAGCAGCAAGAGTTTCTTAGCCTAAAAGAAAGAGCGAGACAGAGATGGGGATTGAGGAGGCATTGTAGTCCAGCTCCGAAGAAAGCAGGCAGTTTCTGGGGTAGTGATTGGGAACTTTTGGAACAGTCCATTGGAAGCAAGAATTTGTTTTCTGAAGGACTTTTCGAGATGCACTGATTTTAAATATTTTTGTTTCAGGTCCTCTTCTCGTTCATCCACTTACTCTGGATCGGGTTCCTCGCGATCTCGTTCCAGATCTTCTTCTTACAGCTCTTATTCTAGTCGCTCTTCAAGACACAGTTCCTTCTCAGGCAGCAGATCCAGGTAATACCTCTTTGGGTTTGAAAGTAACGGTAACTTACTATTAAGTGTCAACACTTAACACTTTGGTGCTATTTTGGCGCTATTTAAAAGCAAACAGCCAACAGTGACTGAAATAAAATCTTCCAACCACTTTCAAGGAAACCTGCTGTCTCAGTAGCTGAGTGAAAGAAATATGTCATCTACCACCCCTTTTGCCCATGTGCCACACTGCTGTGGCTGGACTCTTTCCCATACCTGTGGTGACTGAGCAGTTGGGGAAGCCTGCCTTACCTGAGGGTTTCCATCATTTGCATTTTATGATAGGAAGAAGTTACTGACATCTCCTTTCTATTGCACTGGAATTTCTATTTGAAGAGGCAAAGCACATTTCTCTAACAAAGCAGCCCGGTTTTGCCTTTTGATAGTCCTGACTCTTCAAAGCAACAGTTTGGTGTCCCATGCTGATTAAATAGAGACGTGCTTATTTCTCTACCACTTCCTTGCCCCCGCGGAAGGTTTTCCCAAATGGGGAATATGCATAGTAGAAGAACTGGCTCTCTAGATAGACTTCAGAGCTAAAATCACGGAGGCCCAGAGCAGCTCGCACAGCTAATGGAGTGCGTAGCAGCATTTGGATAGGTGGTTTCTCCTAGGAGAGACAAGACTCCGGTGGGAGTTTTCTGGAAGCATGTGCAGGTATGCTCCTGGGTGCCCTGCAGGAGAGGCTCATTTGTCCCCATCCACCCAGGGGCAGCCCCAACTGCCTCACCCTTGGCACTGCAAGGAGCATCTGACTGCTCAGGACACATTTGTGTGTCTCCCTTCTGCTTCATTTTCCTTCTTGCATTCCAGAAGTTAGAGGTATTTAGTTAGGTTTCCTTTTTTACTTTTTCCCCCAAGAGGTTTTTGCTGCTGTATAAAGTACTGGAGACTGCAGTAGGAGTCGCACACAGCTTAACACAGATCAGGTTAAATAAACCAAACTTGCAAGTCCAAATCCTAGTTGCTCTCCTGTAGGCATGTTCTCCCCAGGGCATGAAGTGTCCAGGTTTTGGTGTGGAATGCCCAAGGTGATTCTGTCTTGCAGGTGACTCTTTCCAGACAGAGTCCAGATACAAAAATAGGACAAGTTTAGACCCACAGAGACTTGAGTCCTGGAACACCGTCACTAGTATAAGGAAGGAGTTGTGGCTAAGATGCAAAAACCTGGGATGTCTTGTGCCCTCCAGACACTGAACTGACTCTGTCCTTTCTGTTTTCTAGATCACGGTCCTTCTCATCTTCACCCTCTCCTTCCCCAACACCATCTCCACACAAGCCACTTGTGAAAGCTAAAGGGGAGTTATTACCACCTGCTGGAAAAGGGTAAGGCTGATATCTATTGTGATAACACGGTGCAGAAAAGACTCTAAACAGTCACCTGATTTCCCAGATCTTATTACCCCATTCAGACCCTTCCGACCTGGTCAACAGTTTTGGGAAGAGTTTGGAAATGCAAATATGACCTGCATAGAAGAGTGTTTAGCTTGAGGTGTTTAATAAACGATAGCACTTCCACTTACCGAATTCAAGATACTATGCAAGTATCCCTAACTGTTATATGAATATGTGAGTGTTTAAACACAGGCAGGATTTACAATTTAAACATCATGTGTGTACAGATAAGTTTATGCAGGAGCTATAAAAAAGTTCAATTCTGTAGCTTTGATGAGTACATCTCCTTAGAATAAAGACATGGTTCAGCCTCATGCACTTTTAATGTGAGACACAAATTAAAACAAGCCCCATAGCAATGAAACTGTTCAGGAGATTGTGCTTTTTTGAATAGTTGAATTTGCTGTTTCACAAACTCATCGTAACTAGTCAATTATGGATACGTCGGAGGGTGTTACAACACTATAGCTATGTCACCTTTGTTAAGGTGACCTGAAAATAAATTACCATGGGAATCCCCTGGATTCCCCAGAACACGGTACAGTTCTTTGTCACACTTGTGCCTTCTTGACCTCCTTTTTTTCTCCTCTCTACTCCAAGGGGTCAGCCTTGTAAGGGCTCGCTCTGTGCCTGCAGCGATGTCTGTCTACCCTTCTGGTGAGCATCGCAGTGCTGGTTTGGGAACAAACCACCCGTGTCAGCAGCCTGTGCTGGCAGAGGGATCATTTTCCCTCCATAACACTGCGTGCACTAATCCTACGTTCCGCAGGGGATGAATGCAGATATTCTTAAGCACAAAGGAGGAATTAACAGTCCCTATTTTTTGTATGAAGGCAGCAGCCTCCTCCCCAGTTAATAGTAGGTCTGGCATCACTGCCGAGCAGCAACCAGCTATTAGACTAGAGTGGAGTGCTCTGAGTCCAGACGTGAGCAGCACAGGAATTGAGTCCTGTCTGATGCTGTATAAAATCACAAAAACGCCGTGTAGCAGTAGTTGGTGATGGGGCTACCTCTTACGTCTCCCACAGTGTAAAACAAGGCAAGGGGCAGGTGTTGACCTTTGCAGAAGTGTGCTGTTTTGTACCCTGCTACTCAGTGAGGAGGAGTGGAAAGAGCAGTTTTGCACAAGCTGCCTGCATTTGATCTTGGAGCCTGGCGGGCACTTTGTAAGTGGGCTTGTTTCTTTGGGATAACAATCTGTAGGACTGAATGGACAAGAGCATCAACAGTGATTCCACGTGTCCTACATGTAAATTAACTAATGAAGGAGACTGTCTCCAAAATTGGCCATTGTCTCTGCGAAGGTGACTTGATTTATACTAATAAACAGATCCCTTTAAGAGAATCCTTATTGTTTGAGGATTGTGGTGAAGTCGGGCACCAAGTGTGTCTAGGTGCAGCCCTTCAAATGCTTTGGTCAACCACAAATAGGGGTGCATTATGGCTTTTGAAGGCATCTGCACCTTCCGAGTTTGCTCATGCACACAAATATCTTAATTTTGTAGTGAAAAGTCTGTGAAGAAGCTAGCTACCCTTCCAGTCCCTCAGCCACTCGCTAAAATCACAGCAGCTGCACCGGAGCCAGCCAAACCAGGGGATAATCGAGAGGCAAGAAGGAAGGAACGTCAGACCAGGACTCCACCCAGGAGGTAAGAAAGCCGGGGTGGAGTGAGGCTTGATCTCCTGGAAGATAGAGCGAGCGCTGGGTTTCTCTCCAGCACCAATTGCAAGGCCTCTTCCACGTTAAAGCAGAAATCCGTTTCCTGGGGCAGGAAGGAGATGGAAGGAGCTGTGGGATGAATTCTAGTCATTCTCGTGGGCAAATGGCTCCTCTCTCTAAAGGTCCTGCTGGGTGGTTGCAGTAGGTGGAATACCTGGAATGTGCCAGAAGGCAGTGTCTGCAGAGAGGAGTGAGAGCGGGAGAAGAAAAGCTCTTTGGAGCAGCAGGTTGGAGCAGTCAGCAAGGAAGCAGAGACACGGTTCATCTGCAGCCCCGCTGACGGGCTGGAGGCTCAAGATTTGTGGTGATGGGCTTCAGCCATCCTTGCTATAAACATTTGCTGCTATGGAGAAAGTATTTCTACACCCTGGTCCCAGGAGTTGGTTTACTCAGTCAAAACAGGAGGGATGAGAAAAACTCCGCTAGTTTGTGGAGTCCCTTGGATATATTTGCTGGCAATATCCTGGTCTGCTTTGCCTTCCTGGCCCGATCCTGTGTGACTTGTCTGAATGTTTGAGCGACTTGTTTTCTCTGTCCTCTGATCACTTTTGTTGACGTTTTTCCCTCCCTTTGCATCTGAAATGAGAGAGGCTCCTGTTGGCTTTCAAACAAGCCACACTTGTCCATATTTAAATATGTTTATCATGCTTAATCCATTGTGTGTATTTAAAGATGTTACAGAATAAATGTAGGCATGCCTTTAGAAAGGCATATGTTGATTTTCTTGGATGACTGCATGATGTTTTTTATCAGCGGTTCTTGAAGATGGCCTTGAGTCTGTTTTCCATTCAGATTTTTGGGTCTCAGTTTTGCATGGGAATACATCTCTGGTTTCTTCCTAGTAGCTAAGGAAAAGTCCTGGGCTGTCTCCATGCATGAAAACTAATTCCTAGAATTTCTTTTCTCTAGAAACCGCATTAATTCTTGACTTTATTTCACTTTAATCTTAGATGGGTTTAGATGCTTTGCATTAGTCTTTATTTCTGTCCTATTTTTTCTTGCCTATGCTCGGAGAAGCCCCACAGCCCTCGAGCTGCCTGCTGTACAGCACTATTTATGTTAGTTCTGGGGTGTTAGCCACAATGGCTGTGATTGTGTAGCCCGAAACAAAAGATGAGCCCACTGTTTTATACAGTTAGAAGCTTTTCATTGTAGGGAGTATTTGCTCTGGTATCAGTGCTGGATTAAGGGCTTCAGGTTGTTCTTTGTCTGGCTCTAGCATCACTCGGTCTCACATAAAACACTGCTGAGAACCGAGATGCCAACTCGGGATCAGGAAACCACTGAGAACACCACCTGAAGCAGCTACAGCAAAGCCCTGTTCTTCCACACGATGGGGGCAGTTGTGTTTCAGCATCAAACAGTCCCTAGATGTTTGGGGGTTCTTTTCCAGCCTTGCTTTAGAGCTGAGCGCAGCCAGGTGAGACTGTTTTTTTGCTGTGTTGCAGACGGACTATCAGTGGCAGCATCAGCGGCAGTGCCAGCAGCTACAGCGGTTCCAGCTCCAGATCTAGGTCCTTGTCTCGCTCTCTCTCCAGATCTCATTCCAGATCAACGTCTGCCTCCGTCTCCCACTCCCCGTCTGGGTCCAGGAAATCCAGGTACAGCCTTGCCCCGTAATAACCTTTGTCAACAGAGCAGGAAATTCTGACTGTTTGTAACTGTTGAGGTTTCCTGCAACAAAAGCTCTGTCCAGGGTGAAATACCAAAGCTCTAGGTAAGTAAGATTTGAAATAACATCGCTCATTCATATGTTGTTATCAATCCTGAGTCTTGAATCATGAGAGCAGAACAATATTGATAGTGTCCTTGGGGCTATTCAAGGAAATAATCCTTCAAATGGGCTGAGCTGTCTATTCTTTACTTAAATTATGACCAAAACATCGTGTTCAGATTGACAATTTTCAATTTAATGTTTTATCTTGTGGTGGGAGGGAAAAAAAAAGGTAATAAAAAGGTAATTTATTCACAGGGTAGCAACAGTTTCAGGCTACAGAGCTTTGCTGTCATAAACCTCAACTACCTCCAGTTATTGAATGTCCTTAGGGAAGATGCTTGGCCTGTCAGTTAGAAGTAGGTCAGAAAATACCTAAAAGGCCCAGCTTTTTCCCTTTGCTGCTGAAGTTGCGTGACCAGTTCCCTCTGTGTTTAGCCCCAAGTGAATAGTTGTTAGTCTGTGGAATTTGTAAACAGCTAACTCCAGTAAAGAGTCAAGAAATACCCCCCTTTTGAAGTTCTTCATTCAGGTTTTTTTGCATCTATTGATGCACAAGAATCTTCAAGAGATTCACCTCACAGGTAGCTTTCAAACACAGAGCTTCACTGTGCTGAAGTTCAGGATTAAAAGTAGATTTGCTGCAGTCTAAAAATAGTGGATAAAACAGAACTTGGCTCTGACTGCTGCTAATCCATACACGTGAACACTGTGAAACTCCACAGTTGAACATCTCCAGTATTTTGTGGCAATGCAAACGTGTTTACTCCGTGCTTGTCTCATTCATCAGATGAGGCAAGGGTGATGCAAGCGGTTCAGAGAGCACTTGGGCCTGCTTGCTCTGCACTGCCCTCCTCTAAAAGGCAGTTGAGAGGAAGAAAACGTGTGAAAACCTCATGCAGGTACCAGGGATGCGTTTGCTGCTTCTACACGTGTGTGGAAAAGGAGGCTCCTGCTCCCTGAAGCTTGCTTTCTGTACATAGTACATAGAGATGAGGTTTAAGGACAGAGATAGGCAGCAGTTGTGGTATTCTTGCTAAAATAGGAAAGGGGTGGCTGGCAGCACGCTGCTGCTTGAAGCTAGCTCTGTGTGTGCACAATTCCCTCTTGGATTCTGGGACCAGATCGTTTCTGCAGCAAGGGCAGCATGATCTGTGCCCATGCCAGACCAGGTTTGCCATTCCAACTCTATAGCCAGGACCTTTCCCAGGGGAGGGATTCCTGCCTCGGGGAGTCACCATCGTGGCCTGCGTTTAGACCTCCTCTCAGACTTTGCTTTTGTCAGAACCCCCGCGGGTAGTGACTTTGTAAGCTGTCCCAGGGCACGTCTGCCCTGCTCGCTGCAGCCTGTTCAGGCAGAGCCAAGCTGGCTTTCAATTAGCGAGCTTGGATGTAGCTAGCAGGGCAGTCACTAAAGCGCAGAGCTGGGAATGGCCTGCAGAACCTGCTGGAGAAGCTCTGGAGATATCCATGTATTTAGCATACACCTGGTCCTGCGTGGCTGTGTAAGCCAGTTCCCAGCTGGCTGGGAGCTTTGCAGCCACCTCGGTGCAGCAAAGCTGCAGACACATCCCTGCAAAGTGCAGGTCCCTCCTGAATATCCCTGAGTTCCTGTCTGAGATGTTGCAAAGTAGAAAGTGTTTCTTAAATGAATATGATCGTCCAACAATTTGTGAATTAATTTTGTGAATCTCTTAAGATAGCTAAGTTATAGGCAGCCACTTCCCTGTTGTTATCACTCCTGATAATTTGTGCATCCTCAGAATAGCAGCAGGGCTCCCCTGGCCCCTGGGGTGCTGTGCTGGAGCTATGGGCTGTAGGACCCCAGGTCTTTCCAGGTCTGCAGGAATAAATGTGTGCCACGCAGCACTGCAGGGATCTGAGCCGTTGCTGCTGGCATGGGTGCCAGCGCACACCCTGCTTTCACTTTGTTTACCTGGGGGAACAGTGACCTGTTAAAGTATTGCTTTAATGTTGTTTATACATAAATGGTGTTTTCTGGACTTGCATCTGACACATCTGAGGTTTTAATGTCATCTGCACCTCAGGAAATCCTTTGTCTTGTCCTGCACACTGCTCACCCCAGCAGCTTTCTGACATCCCAGCCACTCATTTGGGGCACAATAGGGGCATTAAAGGTGTTTATCTCATTTCTGCTAGGTTCTTGTTGCATTAACTGTAATGGTTGTTGGCTCTTTGCAGGTCCCTGAGCGTGAGCAGCGTTTCTTCTGTCTCTAGTGCCTCCTCCAGCAGCAGCTCTGTGCGCAGTGCTGACTCCGAAGACATGTACGCGGACTTGGCCAGTCCAGTTTCCTCAGCCAGCTCCCGATCCCCAACCCCAGCACAGCAGAAGAAAGGTAGAGGTATACGGTTTGGTATTCTTTTTTTTTTTCTCTAAGGGGTCCTGGGAAAAGTAAAGGGGAGCTGCAATCTGCAGTTTCCTTCTTTCTGCAGCCTGTAGGAAAATTGTTGACACAAGTTTCAGCTACTGTGTGTCTCCTTTAGACCAGGGAAATCCAGAGACTTCACCCAAGGAGGATGAGAGCACGGAGCAGGGAAGGCTATAGAGCAGAGGATGCCATTGCATCCTTTCATCCATGTATCTGTGCCTTGAAAGATGCTTTTTTCTATACACGGGTCTGACTTGATGCTTCTCTTAACCTTGTTTTCTTTCACCCTTGTGAGATGTTGCTAAATCATTTAGACAACTGTAGGATCATGTGGCTCTTCCTCTGCTCTTCATAGCCCATAGCAGCGTTGGAGGCAGGAGCCTTTTGTTCCTCGTCTTCTGTGCTGAGCATCCTCTCTGTGGAAATTCTGGTTTCCTGGGCCTTTTAATCTCGGGACCACATGTTGTGCTAACTGGTGTGGGCTCTTTCAGTCCCTGGAGCATGCTCTTGCCCGCACAGGGAAGGCAGGTGAAAGAGGCTAGGCACGAGTCACTGATGTCTCCGTCCTGATTCCAACAGGAAAGTCAAAAAAAGAAGATAGTGCTAAGGAGGAAAAGCGGAAACGGGATGCATCTGCTCAGCTCCTGAAGGCAGCCAAGCCCACCCCGGGGAGCAAATCTCAGCAGCTCCTGCAGACCCAGCAGCCCTCAGCCCCCCAGTCCCAGCAAGGGGGCTTCAGCGCTCACAAAGACATCAAACTGACGCTCTTGAATAAGGTGAGAGGTGGGGGAGTGTAATTCCCTCGGCACATGAGTCAGAGGAGCTGGTGGGACCCGTACCCGGGCTCTGGGCTGACAGAAGGGGAGCTCCGGGCTCCGCGGTGTCCGGATGAGCTCAGCCGGGTAGGTCTGCAGCTGGGCTTGGAAAGGCGGCAGCCAGAACCTGTCTGGCAGCACACACCCTGTGGTGACTTGAGTTGGGACTGTGTTGGCGGCTGCCCCGGGGCACATTCCTGCTGCAGCTTCCAGGGCTGGCTGCTCTCTCGAGGGCTGCAGCCCGAGCGCCGAGGCGAGGCGCGTGCGGCTGCTCCCACGTGCCCGGGCCTTGCCCACGGAAAACACGCTTCCGAGGGAGCTGTCCTCCCGCGAGCCCACTCCGGAACGAGCTGCTGACAAGTCATTCAGTGAGTCAGGAGGTAAAAGTGGCCGTTGCCTCAGCCTGCCGCACGCTCCGCAGAAAACCCAGCTCCGTCCCCGGCACTTACGGTTGAGGCTGATGCCCCAGTTGGATGCCTCCAGTGGAGATGCAATCCACGTCATGTGAGAGTTTGGCCTTGTGGGCTTTGGTGCCGGAGCAGGGTGTTGGCTCCAGTCACATGCTCAGGTTCCGGGATTTGGAGTGTTAATTATTTTTTTCGTCAGCCTGCGTTCCCCTATGCAGTTTGAGGCCGTGTTTTTCCCTGCTTCCCTCTGCTGTGACGTGAGGTGCCTCTGTCGCGTTGGTGCCTCATGCTGGGTGCCTCTGTGGGGAGGAGCAGGCAATTACACACAGCTCCTGTCAGGCTCCGTAGGATCCTGGAGGGAAGCAGGACTCCACAGGCTTCACTGGCATTTGCTATCCATGGTGCTGTTGGAGAAGACTGCAAAAATGCTTCTATTTCCCCTCTTCTGGCTGTTATGAAAATACCCCCTGAGGAGATGCCAGTGTTAGCTGCAGGGTATATCCCAGCTGCCAGAGGAGGTTGTTGCTTGCTGGTGATGGCAGGGAATTCAGTGGTCCCAGCGATGGCTGGAACTAGCATGTGTTTCATAGGGCTCCTGCTGCCATTAGTGAGCGAGCATGTCCCCAGCCCCATCACAAGAAGCATGTCCAGAGCTGCTGCTCTTCCTCCCTGCAGGGACGTGGCTCTTCAGCTCCGGTGTCTGTTTAATTCCATTTCAGGCAGCTGACAAAGGAAGCAGGAAGAGATACGAGCCAGCAGACAAGGACAGGCCAAGCTCTCCGCCAGCCAAGAGGGGAAACCTGTCACCCGACCGAGGTGAGACGTCAGACTTGGGAGGGATTCGGTTCTGGGCTCTCTGGCCTGGCTCCATTGCTACTCCTGCCACTAGAGGCAGCCCTCGAGCACCCCGCTTTGGGTGACAAATGTCCTGGGAACACCTCAAGAGCCCGCTTGCCAGAGAGATTAATTGCAGCCTTCCAAAACCTGCTGCCTTCAGTAACGTAGGGGCTGTGCGGTTGCCAGGGGGTAACACGGGCACAGGAGCCATGCTGCCGCAGGAACGCGGCCGACGTGGGAAACGCGGCGCTGACGGTGAGGCAAGCGAGGCCAGATCAGCCCCGGGCAACCCAAACCTCTCCTTGCGCTGCGCTCTTGCACTGCGCGTTGCAGGGGCCTCAGCACCACTGTATCCACCTAACTCCACTGCAGGGAAAACGGGAAGCCCTTTGGAGGTGCAGAGTACACGTTGCTGCTGTAGGACCACACATCCGTCCATTCCTGAAGACCTGTGTTCTCTAATACTGTCACTGGACATGGCTGTGGAGTTTTGTAGCGCTCCTGTTTCCAGGTCTCTTCTAGCTTGTCGTTCTGTGTGTAGCAAGGAATCTTTGTTCCCTGGTAGAAGGGCCTGTGGCAGTGCTTAGAAAGGGAGCACAGGCTGCCAATTATTGCACCCCATTACTGAGGGATGCAGTAATTGGCTAGATCACCCATCCTGTGAAATGCGCTGGTTTCCTCACTTGTATGACACAACCTCATCTGCCCCATGTGTTTAGAAAGACACGGGCTTTCCAGGTGTTCTCTGAAGCGTCAGAGCAGTGATATTAGCGCCTCACAAAACCTACTGTGGTGCATCAAGAGGACCAAACTGATGCCCCAGCCTTTGCTAGCACCACTGAAAAGCACAGAGGGGAGTCGTCAACAGAGGCGCTTCTGTTTATGTCACATAAGCCAGCATTGACACGTGATGTTTTCCCTGATGTCTCGGCTGTAGGTGTTTCTTGTTGACTCTGGGTGCTAGCCAGAGGAAAATTCTGTGCTAATAGCCTGGTTGCATTTTACTACTGCAAAGACAGCTTGGAAGGGACTGGGTGAGGTTGAAGTTCACTAGGATCTAGTTCACAGCTCCTACTGCGCTGCACACAAGTGAATCAGCCAAAGTCACAAACTGTCCTGCCTTAGTGGTATAGATATGTGCAAAAAAAAGTAAATAGCTTACTGGAAAATGTATATTTGAACAGTGGCCAATGGGACATAACCCTGAAGGCTACTCAGCCTAACCTTGAAGCGACAAGTAACCTTGGCTGTATCGGGACTAAAGTCACAGCCCGACATGCAGCCTGTGCTCAAGCATTGTGGTGCAAACCTCATCCATGAATGAGACTCATGCCTGAGTCCTGCTCCCCTGTTCTGTATCTTCACACGGGTAAACCATGCAGTATCTGCAGCTCTGGAGGGAGCTGCCATAAGGATGCCTGCAGGCAGGTGGCTGCTGTTCCAAGGAACTGGGCACTTTTCCTCTCTGGAGCACTGGGAAGGGTGAGCTCAGCAGCCCCTGGAATGCCCTGTCCCAGTGCAGGAGTTGTTGGGAAGCCCATTGGCAACATCTGGATACGGGTGCTGCAGGACCCCAGCTGGTGTCCCACCACCTCCCGGTCCCCGCAGCTCCAGTGGGGCAGCTGGGGGTAATGGAGCACTGACTGGGTGTGCAAGGAAAGGCCCTGCCCAACCAGTTTGCAAGCAAAGATCAGCCTAAAAGGAGAGCGGATGAGCCTTGCTCCAAAACTGGAGGGTGAGGAGAGGGTTCCTGCAGGTGACATTAGTATAGGTCAACTATGTGGCACAGCTTCAACTATTTTTTTTTAATTATTTATTTTTCCCTTTCATCCCAGAAGATAATTAGGTTCCTTTTCTGGCTGCTGCTGGACTTGACCATTCATTGGCCTGCTCTGGCTGCTCTCAAGATACCAACCTTAATACGCAGAAGCAGTGTGGTAGGCAGGGTAGTGCACCATGCCTTTATGATGGGAAAGAATATCTCACCTTTGATTTTCCGATAGGCTCTCGCGACAGGAAGGCCACTGGGAGACTCTCTTCGCCCAAGCAAGAACGACAGAGAGGCCAGAACCTGAAACCGTCTCCCGCTCAGACAGACAGGTCAGTTGCTGCCGGCTCTCCTGGCTCCTGGGCCAAAGCCATGGCTTGTTTTGGAGGGATCTCATCTCCCTAAACTAACAGCCCTACGGAGAAACAGGAACCCTGCCTGTGGTCTCCTCAAACCTCATCTGGAGGAGGTGGGACTCGCACAGAGAGAATGGGAGTTTCTGGTGTGTCTGACACATGTGAAACACTTGTTGCTCTCATTTCCCCACCAGTTTCTCCTCTTGGCGGGGTTTTGAGGCTCTGCCCTTAGAGTTTCCAGTCTCCATGGGGGCGCAAAGGGAAGGACATGAAGCTCCTTGGACAGGAGCCACAGGCATTAAGGGGTCCAGCTCAGCCCAGGGGGAAGCCACCAGGTGGATTCCTGCAGCTCAGAGCAGGACCTGGGAGTTTTCTCAAGGTCAGTCCCAGCAAGAGGTGTCACCTGGGTTAAGTGCAGGCTCGGTCATGCCAGCACCTCTGCCTCCTGGTAGCACCTCGTAGTGCTAACAAGGAAGAAGCTACAACCCCTGCATCCCTCCTGCCAAGCTGCTCTTGGCTTCTGGTTTGGTGCCTAATCCTTTGTATGCTCTGGCATACGCCGAGCTGCTCACTTTGCTGCTGAGAATTGTTAAAACGTGGCCCCTGGATAAGATTAAGTGGTGACTATCCCTGGCTTTGAGCCTGTCTGTCCCTCCCATGACATGACAGCCTCACGTCCAGTTTCTTGGCAGCTCGTGCCTTTGGCTAGCGCTGGGAATGCCCCGTGGCAGAACTGCATGTGCAGCTGCCGGATCCTTGGCCTGGGCTCTGCTCGCAGCCGCTTGGCTGGAAGCCCATGGAGGACCTTGCGCCGCCTGGGAATGCGTCCTCATTCCTCCTGGCCCATGGTGGCCATGGCTGCCTTGGGCTCTGTAGGTCCATCTCCCCCAGGATGTGCATGAGCTGCATACATCCTGCAGCCCGTGTTCCTTGTACAGCAGCCCTGGTGTCATCCCCCTGCAGCCTGGGACACGAAGGAGCCTCCCACTCTGTGCCAGGCCCAAATCAAAGCCCGGCCCAGCCCTGTCCTTCCTCTGGCCCTGAGGCCCTGTATTCTGGCGCTCAGGAGGACCCTGGGCCTTTCCAGCGGGGTGTTTTTGCCCACATCCCTGCTTCTCGCCCCTCTCCTGCCTGCTGCTGTTTGGGTTGGCAGTGTCGCCCGCCGTCACCAGTGTCGCCTGCCGGGCCGGTCCCACCCTGCGCTGGGCGGTTGAGGAAGCAGCCGGGCTCTCCGGGGCGGCCGCCGCTCCGTGTCCTGCTCTGAACTCGCCGGGGCCCTGGCCGCTCCCGCGGCGCCGCTGGCCGAGGAGACGGTGCGGGCAGGGGGGCAGCGGCGGCCGTGCCAGCCTCCCCGGTGCCTCCGGGCACGCCGGGCCATTCAGAGGAGCCAGCTGAGGCTCGAGGGGTCTTTCTGAAAGCACCTCGAGTTCCTCACTGACGGGCAGGGTGCCCTTGGCTCCCCTATCTCCCCTGGGGTCCCCTTGGCTGCCCTAGGGTCCCCACCTCTGGCTGCAGGGACGTCCCGGGAACAAGGGGCTCCTATGGGATGCCCAGGGCGCAGCAGCCTCCCGGAGCAGGGCCGGCTCCACGGAGAGCTGCGCGCGGAGCCGCCGCTCGCCAAGCTCCCCTGCGCCCTGGGACCGCTCTGCCCGAGCTCCTGCTCCGGCCTTCATCCCCCCCAGGCTCTTCCCAGCCTGCAGCCTCGCTTCTCCAACCTGCTCCCATCCAGTTACGCTTAGAGCGCTGCCCTGCACCCTGAGGGCTTCTCGTCCCCGTTGGCCACCCTCGTGCTCACCAACCTGTGCCTCTCTGTCCCCCCAGGAAGCGCCCGCTGTCCCCGCAGTCCAAGAGCTCCAGCAAGGTGACGAGCGTCCCCGGCAAGGCGGCCGAGCCGGGCGCCGCGGGCGCCAAGGCGGGCAAGGCGAGCACGCTGTCGCGCCGCGAGGAGCTCCTCAAGCAGCTCAAGGCAGTGGAAGATGCCATTGCCCGCAAACGGGCCAAAATTCCCGGGAAAGTATAGTGCGCCGAGCGCCGCTCCGCCACCCCCCTTAGTGACTGTTCATGTTTTTATAAATAGCGCAAAAACAAAACAAAACAAACAAAAAGCGGCCACTTTGGGATTTTGCAGTTCTGTCTTATTTTGGCCGCGATTCTTTTTAAAAAAAAAAATTCCAAAAAAAAAAAAAATACGGAAGTTTGTCAGCTGAGAACACGCGACCGCCAGGACCCGCCGGGGGTCCCTCCGCTCGGCCCTGGCGCCGGGGCCGCCACCGCCTTTTCCATGTAAATTATGCACAGAGGACTCCCGCCCCGTCGGATGCTCCCGCCTCTTTGTCTTTCTCTCTTTCTCCTTCCCCATCCCTCTCCTCTTTGCTAGCCTTGAGTTGTATTCTTCTAGTTAGCCCTGCTGTGTGTTGAGTGTCTTCAGCGATGCAGTTCAATATACTGTGTACCGAGAGAACCGAAAACTGCTGTGAACTACTGGCAACATCACCTTCTCTCCCCGCCCTCCCCAGGAGCAAAACAAATATATATATATTCTTGACTGAAGTCGGATTGGGAAAATGACCTGTTTTATTTTAAGCATCAGATTGTTTTAGTTGATTTAAGAGGAAAACCCTGAAGGTTTTGTCGGGATGTCTGTCTAACAAGGAGGGTCTTTTTGTTTGTTGTTTTTTTTGTTTGTTTGTTTGTTTTCCTTTTTTTTTTTCTCTCCTTTTTTTGAGGGATCTCCCTGAAATAAAGTATTTTGATAACCAGTTGCTGCGCTGTGCTCTGTTGTGTCCAGGGCCACGGGCCCTGCTCTGGGGTTTCACCCCGGGCGCTGCTGCCGCCCCAGTGCTGCCCCAGCAGCTGCTCCAGCTCTCCAGTGTTTGCAGCAGAGGCTTTGGAGCCTCCGGGATCGCAGCACCAGGGAAAGGTGCCGCTGCACGATCCCATGTCAGCGCCAGTGGGTGCCAGGCTTGAGCGTCGCAGGGCTGCATCCTTCCTGGACATGCACTGGGGTGGGAATAGGGGCTGAGCCCCAGTCCTTCCCTTTCCTTTGCTGCTGGCCGGTGCATCCTTGTTCTGCAAGGACGAGGGTGCAGGGAAGGGCGCGTGTGGGTACCCGGGGACAGGGCTGGCTGGAGCCGAGCGCCTGCAGTGCCCGGCGAGGAAAGGCCGAGTGTTGGAATGGGGAAAATGCTGCTCCCTGCAGCCCTGTCCCCATCCTGCTGCACCGTCACTGCGGGTGCATCCCGTGTGCCCATCCTGCTGCGCTGTCACTGCAGGCACATCCGTTGTCCCCATGCCCGGGGCCGGGGGACGCCGCAGGGTGGCCCTTGGCCCTTTCCGCGCTTGCCCAACCAAGGATTTCTTGGCCTTGCTGCAAGGGCCGCGCGCGGCTGCCCCGGGAACGTGACGGTGATATCAGCGCCGCCTTGCGCAACGGCGCCCGGGGCATCCCCAGCCTGGAGCCTCCGTTCGCCCGGAGCGCGGTCCCTGGAAGCGCGCGGGGCGGGGGGCGCACAGCGGGACGCGGGGGGGACCCTCCACGTCCCCTATGAGCAGGGGGTGGCGCTGCCCGCATCCCGGAGCCGTCGCTTTGCGGGCGCCGCGCGCGGGGCAGGGGCGCGCCGGGGCGAGAAGGAAGTGCGGCCCGCGCGGGGAGGAGGAAGGCAGCCGGGAGCTGGAGTTTCCAGGTGTGTGTACATCACCTGCGCCAGCCCTATATATAAAGGCGGCGGCAGGAGCGCTGCCACTCGGCCGCCCGCAGCCCCGGGGCAGCCGCTCGCAGCCGCCCGCCCGCCGCCCGCCCGCCGCTCGCTGCGCCCGCTCATGGTAACGCCCGCCCGGGGGGCACCCGCGTGCAGGACAACACGGGGGGAGCGTGTGCTCGCGGGGGGTGCAAGGGCTGTATGTGTGTGTGTGTGTGTGTGCACCTGTATGTTGAGTGGCACGGGGCTTGCATGTGCACGTATGTGTGTGTAAGGGCTGTATGTGTGCGCACCTGCATATTGAGTGGGTTGGTGTTTCCATGTGCTCATATGTGCGTGTAAGGACCACATATCTGTGTATGTGTGCGTGCACCTGCATATTGAATGGGATGGGGTTTGCATGTGCTCGCATGGGTGTGTAAGGACTGTGTGTGCACCTGCATATTGAGTGGCATGGGGCTTGCATGTGCTCATATGTGCAAGGACCATATATATATATGTGTGTGTGTGTGTGTGCGCGCGCACCTATGTGTTGGGTGATGGGGAGTTGCATGTGTGCATATGTGCCTGTGAGGACCACATATATTTAATGTATATATAAGTGTGTGTGCACCTACACACTCCTGAGTGGTGTGGGCGTTGCATATGGTCACATGTGCATGTAAGAATGCTATATATTTATATATGTGTACATGTATATGTATGTGTTTGTGTGTATGTACATATTATATATAAAATGTGCATGGCACGAAGGCTGTGTGTATGAGTGCATGTCAGAAGGATATAGGAGACATGAAGCCTGGTGCAACAAATGCATGTGCTGATGCTCTGTGAGTGTGTGTGTGTGTGTGTGTGTGTGTGTGTGTGTGTGTGTGTGCACGCTTGCTGGCATGCAGAGGTGCATGCACATGTGTCTGGGTGCAGCCTGACTGGTACAATGCGTGTGTAAGTCTGCAAGTACTGATTGTCCCTTAAGGGATGGCTGGCAGGGCTCTGCATGCATCTGGATGTGGGTATGTGTGTGTGTTTGTGGGAGTGCACAGGAAAGAGCAGTGCAGGGGAGCACATATGTGCAGATAATGTGTGTGCATGCACATGTGAATGTGTGTGCATGCACACGTGCTGCCAGCTCTGTGCGCATGAAAGGGGCTACCGCTTCTGTGCAAACACACGCGTTCAAAGGCAGCAGCCGCGAGCGCGCACGTGTGCAAGAGCTTGCACCGGTGCTCTAGCCGCCTAGACCCGTGCAAGCCGCGGGTCCCCGCTCCCTGCAGCTGCGAGCGATCCAGGGTGGGAGGAACGGGCGGGGAGCGGGGCCCCGCGCTCACGCCGCTCTCCGCAGGGCTGGCTGTGCGCGCTGGCGCTCCTGTGCGCGCTCGCGCCGTGCGGCGGCCTGCGGCGGCCGGCCGTGCCCGCGCCGCGCTGCTACAGCGCCGGCGAGCTGCAGGGCGCCGAGGCGCAGCTCGCAGGCCGCAGCCTGCGCTGGGAGCACCACGCGCCCGTGCAGCTCGTGCCGCGCCTGGAGCGGCTGCAGCGGGAGCCGCCGCGCCGCCGCCGCCGCCGCCACGAGCGCGCGTGCCCCGCGCTGCAGCCGCGCGCCGCGCTGCGCCCCGAGACCAACGAGCGCTCCATCTCGCCCTGGCGCTACCGGTGAGTGAGCTGCCCCTGCCCCACGGCTGCCCCACGGCTGCCCCACGCGGCTCACGCGCCTCCGCCGCCCGCAGCATCGACGAGGACGAGGACCGGTACCCGCGGAAACTCGCCTTCGCCGAGTGCCTGTGCCGCGGCTGCGTGGACGTGAAGACGGGCCGCGAGACCACGGCGCTCAACTCGGTCGCCATCCACCAGACGCTGATGGTGCTGCGGCGCAAGCCGTGCCCCGGCGCCGGCGGCCACGGGCTCTTCGCCCTCGAGGTGGACTACATCAGGGTGCCCGTGGGCTGCACGTGCGTCCTGCCCCGCACGGGCCGCTGAGCCGCCCGCGCGCCCGGCCCGGCCCTAGCGTGACCGTGTCACGGCACCCGCCCCGTGCTTGTTTTAAAGCACCCGCCTCGCACCGGGGAGCGGGGGGGGCTCCCCCCCCCCCCGCACCCTCCCCCGGCCTGATTAATTTATGAGTTATTTATGAGCCCTGCCCCGGGGCTGGGATGGGATGGGGAGGGGGCCGGGCATGGCCAGCCCGGTGTCGTTTTTAACCCCCGTATTTATTGCCGATGCCCCGCGAACGCTGCGGTTATTTATTGCCCCATGTGCTATTTATTGTGCTATTTAACGCTGCCCGCGGGGCAGCCTGCAAATAAAGCCTGATCCCCCCCATCACGCCTGTGTGTCACCCGCTGTGCCCCACGGTGCCGATGCCCCCGTGCCCGCGCCCCGGCGGGACCAGCCCTGCCGCAGCCCGCGGCGCCCGGCCACCCACTCCTTTCCCACGGCTCGCCCACGGGCCCAGCGCCACCTGCTGGGACCGGCCCCGCGATGCTACCCCCACAGCACCCATGGGTGCCCTTGCACCCTGCGGCCACCCCCAGCGTGCTGCAAAGGGGCTCCCTGCAGCATCCGCTGCCACCCAAGAGCAGGATGTGTGGGCTGAAATAGGGGTGAGTCTGCACACAGCAAGGCAGGGCTTTGTGCGTGGGGACAGGGGCAGCAGGACAGGGCCATATATATGAGGACAGGGCCGTATGTATGTATGGGGAGAGGGCTGCGAGTCCCCGTGGGCCACTGCACGGCAGGGAGGACGGGGATGGGACAAGGCTGCAGGGCACATGGGCAAATATCGGCTTGCAAAAGGACCAAGTCAAGGCAGGGATTGCAGGGAGCAGCTCTGCAGGGTGCAACGCGGGTGCCCGCGTGGGGCTGCTCCCTGTGCGCCCGACATCCCCAGGGCCGGGACAGCTCATGGGACACGAGGAAACCGCAGCTCTTGAGACGAGGCTGCATCGCAACTCGCCTTGTGCCCGGTGCCACTTCATGCCCTGTTGAATGGGATGGACCATCTGGGCCCCTCTGGCTGCCCCAGCAGTGCTCAGAGCACGGGTTGCTGCCCAGGTGCAGCTCCCACTGCCTTGGCCCGTGTCCGATGCAGGGATGTGCCCAGTGTCCTGCTCTTGGCCATTAAACCCATCCCCAGTGCAGCCCTCATGCTGCAAATCCAGGCGCAGAGGAGCGGCCTCTCCTTCCCCATCCCAGGCTGTGACAGTAAATCCCAATGCTGGGATGAGCCCAGAGATCCTTCTGCAGGGATAGGCTCAGTTCAAGCCCAGTGCTCACTCCTAGGGCAACAAGGGAGCCCCTGTGCACAGAGAAACGACCCCGCAACCCCCTGCCCTCACAGCACTGAGCACTGACGCTCTCATCTCACCCCGGGCAGAGCGGAGGCAGACACGGTGCCTGTGCGGGTTGCTCATCCGTTCTTTTATTGCAACAGCAACCGCAACAGGCGGCGATAACGAGCGGCACGAGCGGCCCCCCGCCCTGGCGAGTTCGGGGCCTCCCCGGCGGCTGCAGGGGGGCCCGGCCTCACTCGGCCTCCACGGCGGCGGGGTTCACCTGGCCCCCCAGCTCGGCGGGCGGCCGCTTGCGCGCGTCGGCGGGCGGCCGCGGCGGCGGGTTGCTGGGCGGCTGCTTGATGGTGTCGCCCACGTGCGGGCGCGCGCGGGGCTTCTGCTCGATGGGTCTCCACTCCTCCCCGCGCACGGCCGCCTGCGGGACGGGGAGGGCGTCAGGAGGGACCCCCGGGGAGCCCCTCAGCCGGCAAACCCCCAATGAGCCCCTAGTGCCCGGCCTGGGGGCGCAGCAAGCCCAGAGGGGCCCAGGCGTCCTGCCCCCCACAACCACCCCATAGAGACACAGCCTGCAACACCAGCCACCCCATAGCTTTGTTTTTGCAGTGCAAAAAGGCAAAAGGGAAAAAAAAAAAAAGGCAAAAAACAACCCTAGTTTTGCTCTTGCGGGGCAGGGGCCAGGATGGCAGAGCCGACTCACCAGCAGGTAGATGCCGCTGGCGATGCCCAGGCACACGGTGCCCAGGATGGTGGAGAGCAGGAAGCCGGCGGGCACGGCCAGGCTGCACAGTAGAGAAGGGGGCGCTGAGCGAGGGGCGCCCAGGGCCAGAGGGGCTGCCCCCCAGCCCTGCAGAGCCCCCAGCCCCACTCACGCGGCGTGCAGGATGGCCCGGACGTAGTAATTCCTCGTGAGGGGCCCGAACACCTTCAGCACGGCGGTCATGTACCGCTGGCCACTGCGGAGGGTGGAGGGATGCGCTGGGGTCAGGATGGCCCCAGGACCCTCCCCATACCCCTGCACCCCTAGCAACAGCAGCACCCCGTGCCCATGGGATTCGGACCAGGAAAGCCTGGGAGAAGCTGCTTCCTGCTGCCTCTTCCCAATCCCGCACCGCCCGGGGCTGTGTCCCCCCAGTTGGGGTGTCCCTCCCGTTGGAGACCGGCTCCAGTGCTCCCAGTTCGCTCTGCCCTGGTGGGGGCAGCACTTACCACCTCTCCATCGTGGAGCCCTTTTGCCGCCTGCTCCGGGGGTACTCGAGCAGGCAGACGAAGACCCCGGCCGCGCTGCAGGGTGTCAAGGAAGGGGCTGTTTGGGGCCAGGGATTGTCCCCGGCGTGCCAGGATTGTCCCCTGGGATGCCACCATTGCCGGGGGTGGGGAGGAGAGGGGAGACAGGGCAATGCAAGGGCAGGGGACAGGCGAGCAGCCGCCACAGTGCCCACAAGTGACAGGGTTGTCACCCCACCCAGCAGGGATGCAAAGGGCATCGCACAATCCCAGGGCTGGGATCTAAGGCCTGCAGGAAAAGGGGCCATTCGGGGCCAGAAAATGGCGATGGAAGAAAAGAACGTAAAAAAAAGAGGAACTTGAGGAAAGAAAGTGAAAGTGAAGGGGGGAGGCAGCCCCCAGCCCCATCCCGCTCCCCGCTCCAAAGGATACATGGCGTAGGCCGCGAAGTACCAGCCCTTGAACTGCCCCGCCACGGCCACGATGCCGCCCGTGAGCATGACTGTGGGGACACGCAGGGTGGGCTGGGGGTGACGGACCCCTCTGCTCCCCAGTGCAGGCAGGGGGGCTGCAGGTCTTTGCGGGAGGTTTGGGGGGCCGGGAGCTTTGCCACGGTGCCCGGAGGGAGAGGAAGAGGAGGCTCTGGGCAGGGAGGAGGAAGAGGAGGCTCTGGCCTGGCTCGTGCCCGGCCGGGACTTCCCCGGGCAGCTCCGCACCTCCTGCTTGCACCACCCTGGAAAACCCGGCGGGTCCCAGCACCTCTGGGATCAGGACTGGGGGCCGGGGACCCCACGGACCCCCACTGTGACAGCGGTGACCCCCCACAGCGGTGACATCCCCTGAACCCCAGCTCCGAGGGCCGGGGGAAGAGACCCCGAGCTCCGTCCTGAGCGGTGCCCGGCGCGTGGCCCGCGTTGCGTGCAGGGCTCTGTCCCCTCAGCAGCCAGGAAGCCAGCGGCGCCGGGCACGGAGCAGCGCCAAGGGCGGCTGGGAGGGATGGGGACACGGGGCTGGGCGCCTGGCAGCCCCTTGGGGACAGGGGCAGCGACGAGGGGACGCGGGGTCTGCGCGAGCACACGGGGGGCTGTGGAGCCGCGGGGGGGGCCCCGCCAGGGCCGTCGCTGCCTCGCGCTCGACCCTCGGAGCAGCGGCCGGAGCCTCGCGGGGAGGCGCCGCGTCCCCCCGGCCCCCGCCCGGCCCCGCGCCGACGGGGCGGCCCGGCCGCGCGCACTCACTGAGCCCGGCCGCCAGCGCCTGCTCGTTGGCCCACATGGCCCACTCGATCTGCCCCATGGCCGGCCGGTACCGCCCGGTACCGCCCGCTGCGCTCCCCTTCGCTTCGGTTCGGCCCGGCCCGGCCCCGCTCGGCTCGGCCGGGGCGGAAGCGCCCGGCTACAATGTAGCCCCGGGGGGCCCCGCCCCGCGCGCGAGCCCCGCCCCGCGCGCGAGCCCCGCCCACGAAAGCCGCGACGGGACGGGGGCAGGAGCGGTCCCATCGAGGGACCGGGGGGGACAGGGGCGGCCCCACGGAAGGGGCACGCGGGGGACCGGGACACGAGGGGCAGGCGCAGCCCCCCCGGCCGCGCTCACACAGGCCACGGTGCCGCTGCAGCTGGAAAAACTGTATTTGTTGGCAAAAAGGTAAAAACCGGCTCCCAGGGGGCACATCCTGCCCCAGGCCGAGGCGACGGGCACCTGAGCCGGGGGCAGCCCGTGGGGGTCCGGCCCATGGAGCCCCCCAGGCCGCCGTGTGTCGCAGCCGTCCCTCGGTGCTGCGGCCGTCCCTCGGTGTCACAGCCGTCCCGCGGTGTCCCCACGGGCTCGGCCCCACGGCAGGGGCTCAGGCGCCGCTGCGGGGCAGCCCGTCCGGCCCCAGGAGGTGCTGGCTGGGGTCGTCCAGGAGCTGGGGGCCGGGGCCGGGCTGGGGGCACAGGGGAGGCGTGGGGGGAGGAAGGGCCCCGTCCCGGCTCCGGGCCAGGACCCCCCATCGGAGACCCCTGGGGACGGGGCAGGGAGCTGGCGTTGTGGGATGGGGCTGGGGTCCTGCACATCCCTTGGGATGGGGACCCTGCAGACACTGCTGGGGATGGGACCCTGCACCCCAGGGGGTTGGACCCTGTCCCCCTTCTTCTCCCCTCAGGGACAGGACCCTGTTAACACCACCAGGGATGGGGACAGGAGCCTGCAACCACCTTGAAGTCTGGGGACAGGACATGGGACTCTGCATCCCTCCCTCTCCTGCCAGGGCTGGGACCCTGCAAACACTGCTGGGGATGGGACAGGACCCTGCACCCTGGGATATGGGACCCTGCTGGGATGGGGACAGGACC